ATGACAAATTACGAAATTCGACAGAGCGAGAAGATTTCATTAGTTCATCGTATATAATTTCATATTTATTGCAAATATCAAATAGGCTACAATATAGCAAAGGATTTTCATTTACATTAACGAACGTGTTTTCTAACAGATTATAATATAGCATTACGTGACCAGTTGTTTAATACAAAAGCCCTAAATCATTTAATTGCGAACATATAATGTGGCGCAAATTCGAAATGATATTCAGTATTATACTTTTAGACGTAACTGGCGAATTCGCATTCAAGCCAAATGTAGCAGTTCCTGAAATACAGTTCCATTCGTCCCCCAACACAACATATAAAGTCTCTCTCTCTCTCATATATATATATATATATATATATATGTATATATGTGTACCATGATAACTGTATATGACGAGAATTTATATATATATATATATATATATATATATATATATATATATATATATATGTAAAACTCCCAACAACTTCCGAGACAGATGCAGTTTGTGCACATAAGAGAAGATTACAATAATTAAATACAGAAATGCTGACAAATCATTTAATCAAAGAAACGATATTATTTTCAAATGTAGACATAAATCCAAGTTTAAAATTCACTAAAACCTTTGAATTTGGGAGATGAACAATTGAATTATTGATTCCTTTATATTGGTACTCGCATATGTGTATATATATATATATATTCATATGCGTATATATGTATATCGCGTATCTTTGTGATTTTTATATGCCGTTATATGTATGTTTGTATTACTGATGTATACAACATCTTCATATTTTTACTATTATTATTATTATTATTATTATGATTAGGTTATTTTTAGAATGTTTCTCCTTCCATGTTTGTTCTGTATATTTATTTATATTTTGATTTACTTATTTATCTCTTACCTATTATATTTATTAACAAATATTTTTATTTTATCTATTTTGTGTAAATTAATTTATTTTTTATATTATTATTACTTTTAATAGAGCTATATTTAATAGAATATCTAATTTGAATGGTGATTATTGCGGACAATGTACTGTAACGCTTTCACATTCGATCTCGCATCACATCACCCGATATACGAACTTTTTCAACCCTCTAAGGAAAATATTCTTGGCCAGGTCATTCTGTTTTAGTTTTAATACTATCCTTTCATTTATTTGTTCCTTCTTCCCTTCCCCTTCCTTTACCTTCCCTTTCCCTTCCTTCCTCCCTCTCTGCCGACCTCTTTCATTCGCCACTCTCCCCCTCTTTCTCTTATGTGTTAAAAGAAATTCTATTAAAACATGTTATGTTTCTTTCTTCTCCTCCCCCTTTATTTTCCTCCTGTTAATCTAGAATACCCCTGGTATATATATATATATATATATATATATATATATATATATATATAAATAAAAGCACAGTGTGTTTATGTGTGCGTGTCCAAGCAAGTCCTTTGCTCGCCTTAAATGATTCATATCTCATTCAAAAGTTTGACAGATTATGCGAGGGGTTATATATATATATATATATATATATATTTGGTTGGATAGATGTGAGTTTGTGACCCTGGGTTTCACGCTTTAGCTCTCTCTGATATTGAGCGCTTTCTAATAAGTACCGCGTATATAATATATAAATAATTATACATATATATATACACTTTTCACATATATATATATATATATATATATATATTGCTTTCATAGTCCATGGGGAGTAACTCTTATTTTCCTTTTGTGTCCAAATTTGCAGTGCACGTTTAGATTAAAAGTAGCCCCATCTGGCGGCATTTAAGCTAGCTCCTGTGGACGACTCTTTTTGTTTGGCCATCACCACAATAGCTAGATAGGAGTAGATGTGATTGGCACCAATAAACTACAGAAGAACTCAAAAATTGTCGTTGCATTAAAGTATTGAAGCATTGAAATAATGTTTAAGATTACCTTTTAAAAGTTCAACAATATTTCTTTTGCTGCCACTTAATTTAAATACCATTTGATGTACATAGGACCTTATTTTCCGTACAAACAATTATTTTTATTTCATGGATGTCAGAACAGGGGACAAATTATAAGATAAAATTAATAAAGTATAAAGATGGGAAAATGGAAAGTAGTTATACATTCACATTTGAAGTGTTAGAGAAACATAATAGCTAAGTAAAACCTATATTATGGAATCTATATGAATAAATGCCAAGAATTCTGACATTAATAAGTTCCAACTATTTCATAGTAATTTACGCAGTATTAACTCCTTCCCCCACTAGGATGAGATGTGACACAAGGTCTTTTTTAGGTGGAGACCCGAGCGCGTACGCTTGGGCACAAGGAAAAAAATTACCCTCGGCTCACGCAACCGTCGGTTGCGCTGGCCTCGGTGCGAGCACCGATCCCTCCCTCTTGTGCAATGGGAGGGCGCGGCCTCGGGCAGCTGTTCCCCAGGGCTGGGCACCCCTTCAGTATAATTTTCCTCAGTTGCCCCTCTGTCCTTTGACAGAGAAGCCCCTGAGCGCACTCTGCCCAAGGACAGAGACGCAACTGAGAGATGATAAATAATACGAAATCCCCCAAAGGAGGGATTTACGCATTAAATGCTCAATATCTGTATTATATATTATCAAATTCTAGGTGATATCACTCTTCAGGTTTAAATAACTTGCATATTGATTTAAAAAAAAATACATTTCATTAATTAAATGTTCTTCATTACTGTTCTTTTATATGAGGATTGTTTTGATTTTCATATCAAAACTAGTTCTGTATAGGAATATTGTCTCATATAGTTGTATATCATAGATTTGCCCTAATCTTTATTGCCATATTCATTACGTTTCGGCCGTTGTACGATCCGACCTTCTTCAGGTGACATAATCTGGCATTTCGAACCGAACCCTTACTTAGTTCTCGACTCAATGGATGAAAGCGTTGGTTTTATAATTCAAAATGTGATTTAACCCAATAAGTTGTGAGTTCAATACGTGGCTACAGTGAAGAAAACAAAAAATTGGAGAGTAGAGTTACTAAAGGCAATTAACTGCTACGGAGATATCTAAAAATAGGCATGGCATGTGGAATTCGAACAATCAAGAGGCGTGGACTAAATAAAAGGTTCGCTGCGAAATTTGCAAGTATATCCTCTGAAGAAGGTCTAAAAATACAACGGCTGAAACTTCGTGAGTGTAGTAGTAAAGATGAGGGCAACAGTCCCTCATCTAAGAAACATATATTGTGACATGTCCCTCGATGTTAAATCAGACCTGTGATCAACTTGTTATGTAACACGCTTTCCTTGTTTCCTTTTTTTTTTTTATTATTTCTTTATTTCATTCCTCACTTCCTGTCTAGACTGAGTTTTGACTTGAATAAAAAGAATATTATCAGATATACATTTTGTAAGAAAAACAAATTACGAGCAATACGTGTTTTTGGACCGTCAGCTCAAAGTTGAAGAAGAAACTCGAGGCAACAGAGGTATGGTTTTACAGAAGGATGCTAAGGATATCATGGGCAGAATATGTGAGCAATAATGAGGTTTTGGACAGGATGCAAACAAATAGCAAACATATATTTAACATGAAGAAGAAGCTGAAATTTCTGGGACACGTAATGAGAAAGGAAGGCTTGGAAATCTGATTCACACAAAGCGGGCAGAGTGAAAAAGAGGCAAGGGAAAGCAACGCGTAACATACCCAGCGGGCATAAGGAAATATATTGACAAAACAGGGTCTGGGAGAACTATTGAGAAATACTACGGATAGGAGAAAGTGGAGAGCCATGATCACCTATGTCCTGATGGGACAGGGCACATAGAAGAAGAATTACCAGCAATACATTTTTGTAAGGGGGAAAAATATAAGTAATGAGGCACGATGGAGTAATGGATAGCGACTCGGATTGAGGAATCGGAGAGCCGAGTTCGAATTCCAGTCGAATCCATTACATTCACTTACGTGCTAATTCCCTTGGAAAAGGTGTGAATCCTCTTATTCTCCCCACAACGATGGGTAAATATTAGGACAGACCAGGTTCTATAGTCTTGGATGTCAACTGGTCTACCGTAGAAAGAAATGGCAGCCTAGTGTGGTAAAGAAAATCTACCGCGTCAGTCATGTATCGAAAGATACATGATCGCCTAAGCATGTATCACGCATAGCACATGACTTACTGAAAGGGAAAAATATTATCATTAATAATTTTTTGTAAGGAAACAAAAACTCTTACCAGCGATAGAATTTTGTAAGGAAACAAAAAAATATTACCAGCAACACAATTTTATAAAGAAAACATATTACTAAAAAAAAAAAAAAGATAGCATCAGCAATAAATTTTTGTAAAAGAAAAAGAATACCGGTAATATTTTTTTATAAAAGAAATTACTAATGCTTCCAAGAAAATTAAATTTCGGTATTAAATGAATCATAAGATGATATGCCGTTAAAGAAACAAAGCAAACAATAAAGCAACGGAAGTTTTAAAGAAACGAATCCATCTTTTAGCAACATCCTGTTAACCTGCAGCTTCAATTAGGGAGGGAGATAGTTAAGTTGCTAAATATTAACTCCTTAATTTTCTAGTTTCAAGTTCAACCCGCTATCTTGTTAAATATGCATTCTTTGTTATCCTGAAGAGGGGCAAATGCAAATGGTTTCGCGCTGGGAATGTGAGATAATGAAAAACATGAGAATTTCGGAGCATTTAAAACAGATTCGGGTACAAATATGAAAGAGAAACAATGTAATCAAACACTCTGCTATTGAAAATAAGATTGGGGTTTATTTCTGAAAAATAAATAAAAAATGGGAAGAAGTCTTTTGAATCGCAAATTTATTAATAATGAACTCAGTGGCCTCAGAAGGGAAAATAAAATTGATTAACTCGAAGGAAAACGCGGATGAGTTGTAGGTGGCGGAGCAGAAAATGTGAATTAGAAAAAGAGCAATTTTGTTTCTGGGAAAATATCCTTCTAACTCCATCCATGATGTAGGATATAAAAATGAAAAATACGAAGAAAGATGGATGGATGGGTGGGTGAAAAAAAAAAGAAAGGAAGGAAGAAAGGTGAAAGAAAAAGATGGATGTACGGATGGATGTATAATAGAAAATAAGAAAGAAAGAAATGATGAATGGATAGAAGGAAGAAAGAAAGAAACAAGGATGGATGGATGCATAAATGAAAGAAAGAAAAAAGAAAGAAAGCAACTAACAAACAATCGAAAACAAAAGCAAAGAATGTGGAAAGAAAAAATAAAATAAATAATAAACAGCAAAGAAGCGTAATGGGATCAATAAATTTGAAAGAAAAAATAAAGATCGAACGCAAAACACACGGAAGTACAGTAGGAAAATACAAAAAGGAGACAGCTGCAACATTTTACTGGGAAAGTTATTTACAAAGAAAGAATACAAAAAAAGAAAGAAACAAGCAAACAAACAATATATAATTAATAAAAAAAAGAAGAGTAAGTCGATCAGTGACTTAGAAAGAAAGAAAGACACTGAATTAGTGGACGTAAAGGTAAAAAGAAGACGCATAAGGCTTTTAAAAGTTTTAATCAGAAAGAAAGAACGTAAAACAGAGACGTAGAATACAGAAAAATAAAAAGGATGTCAGATGCAATATCTAAAAGAAATTAATTTAAAAAGAAAGAAATAAAGAACGTGAAACTCGTTCAAAGTACGGAAAGACATAAATGGAGCCGATGCTATATTTAACAGGCTATTTATTTATTTAGAAAGAAAAAAGAAATTAAGAAAAAAATAAGAAAGAAACAAAGAAAGGAAGAAATATTCCTTTATCTCAAGGGAAACAAGATATGTTTAAAAGTGAAATGTAAACTATTGACACAAGAAGGAATAATTTTTACCAACAAAAAAGACTAAAATGGCTAAGAAATCACTGAATGTCATAAAGCAAAACACAATAAATTCTTGTAGGAAATTAAGTAAATCAATGGGCAATCGATATCAAATTAAAAATCAATGAAATTTACTTAGTTTGATAATATGTACAGTGGTGAGAAAAGAAATAAGCCACTTCGGGAAAAATCAAGTTGTTTAATGTTAAATTAGAAGCTCTGAATAGGTATAAATCCATTTTCCTCTCACACATGTCGGAGTTTAATGTGGAATTTCGGCCAGCCGTACAAAAATTGCTCTAGCTCCACGGTACTTCTTCACTTAAGGACACCTGATACTCTGGGTAATAACACCAGCCACCTCCCGAAGGATAGATAGAGCCTAGAATGTGCCTGTCACTAAATTGGATACTAAACCACCTCTCCCTCTGGATGGGTCGGAAATTGATTGATTGATTTGGCTTGCAGTTGATCACCCCTTTGTGGATTATTTAAAGCTTGGCTATATTTTGGATTGTAAGAACAATTCTTTGTTTTTATGAGTTTTTATGTTTTTACTATTTAACCCCAAACTGGGGTATTATCGACAAAGTGAATGTGACGAACCCGACTTGATTTCGAGTCCGTCTTTCCAATTACTTATTACTAGACATTATTCATTTCATCATATGTACATCCATCACTGAGCCAGGGAAGTTCTAAGTAATCATCACATATTTTTCAGGAGTGGTATAGAGGGTCGGTCTGGAACGTAAATCAAATTGATGTATTCATGTTAACACAAGAGGTTTGGTGATAATACCCGAAAAGCTTTGTGGTACTGGGGATAAGGCATGCTACAGTTGTAAGTCATTTGACACCTTTTAAATACAACAAAATCTCAGCATCCAATTTCTCATGTTAGGTGATCAAAATAAGAAATTTTCCACATGTGTTTCTTGTGTCAATGAATTAAGTTTTAAAAATCGGGAGACAATGACAAGTGCCAAACTGTCAAAGAAAATGTATCAGCAGGAAATCACTAACAAGTTCTTAATATCAAGGCATGCCGTCTAAGTTACGGAGAAGAACCATGCCGGTAGCAGAAGGGATTTCAGTAATGAACAGTCTGATACACTTTGGAATTTAGAGAAAAGAGATTAAATGAATCTATTGAGATTATCGATATCCAACCTAGAATTAACATCTCAAATAACTGATGAAAGCCGGGTTATTCCTTAAGACACAATTAATACTCTTTTGTTTTTAATCATTTCATCCCAAGCAAGGAAATAAAATTTCACTAGCACCAAATGTTTACTGAGAGTGAAAGAGACACAAGAGATCAATAACGGAACAGGTTTCAAGGTGGAAGAATATGGCGACTGACATTGCATTTAAAAGTTTGAAGATCGTAACTGAGAGAAAAACATGAAGCCGAAAGAGAGTTACACAGAAAAGGAGTGTGAAATGAGAAACTATTAGCATAGGACTCACGGTTCTAGAATTGTAAACAGTAAACTTTCGAAACATGGCTGACAATCGAGTACTGCGCTAAAATTCGTAGAATTGACGTGCCAAAGAGGAAAGCTCATCAGAACAACTACCAAGGATTTATTTATAGAAACAGCAAAAAATTAGCAATACCGAATGCGTCCACAATTTACATTATTCGGACTACTGTCCTCATTTTTCTCGGCATATTTATTACAACGTTTCGGCCGTTGTACGCTCCGGCTTTCTTCAGGTGTTTGGAATGTCGAACTGAAACCTTTATTTCGTTCACTGGGGTAGACTATTCTAGTTCCACGTGCCAATTCTTAATAGATGTCAGTTATCAGTTATCTCCTGTTAATTTCTCTCTCCAAGTTCTCCACTGCCTTAACCGGGTATTAAACTCACACTCTTTGGGTCCTGTCACTGGATCTAACCAACGCCTTTATCCACTGTGCCATGTGTCCTTGAGTGTGAGTTCAATACCCGGTTAAGGCAGTGGAGAACTTGCGGAGGGGAATTAACAGGAGATAACTGATAACTGACATCCATTAGACATGGCACGTGGAACTAGAAAAGTCTACCACAGTGTGCGAAATAAAGGTTCAGTTCGACATTCCAACTGCCTGAAGAAACGTTGTAATAAATATGGTGACATATGAGGACAATAGTCCGAATAATGTAAATACTGTACATAATACCTCATCTCAGAAATATAGACAGATACTGACTGAATGCGTCGTTGAATGATAGGCTTTTAAAATGGTAAGATAGATTCTGACGAGAAAAAAAAATCCTCTACCACGACAGAATGAACCAATTTTCTTAGCAGCAGATGGTTCCACTTCAATGGAAAATGTTAATGATTCAAGACACAATGAATTACTTACAAGGAGTTTAGCCTTATCAATGCTGATGGGAGGCAAAACAGTCCCCAAAAACGATTAAAGGAGAGCGTTTTTGCTTTGTAAAGAATATCATCGCTTGATTTGGCTGCATTATTTATAGTCAGTGTAAGGCCCTTAGGCTTTTCGGGAAGAGGATAGCCAAAAAATTAAAGCGTTTGTTGGTGATCTTTTTGGTATAATAATTGTCAGGTAACTCAGATGAAAATGAACAAGATCGTACGGTTCACACACCTGTCTGGTCCTTTGAACTGGAGTAGAGGTCTCTCAATTGCTTCGTGTTTAAGACTGGGTCTCCAGGTCCTTCTAATGTCATCTCATTCTCATTCACTCCAGGTAGTCTCTAGCGTCTTAGTAGAATTATCGCTTTGCTTGGAGTGAATATGATTTTAAAGAAAAGCAAGATATTCCAATACATGTCAGTGGAACAAGAAAATCTACCACGTGGATTAAATAAAGGATTCATTTTCAAATTCACTGATGGTTAGGAGAACCAACAGAGGCCTGAAGAAAACTGAAATCCCGATAGACAAAACCAGATAATAGCAAAAATATGAGTACTTTAGTCCAAATATATCTAATCACGTCATTTTAAGAATTAATACTAAAAAGTTCTCATGATTACTTTTACAAAAATTTTAAAGAATAAAGGATCTCAAACAGTATGTCGTTTTTTGTAGTGAAAAAAGTTTGCGAGTTATCTATTCTTCAGCCTTCGTTCTGTGCTGGCTTATTGTGGCGACTAATCTCACTTTAATATTTACAATTTATGGCATACATCATTTACAAAAGAGTTTAATTTTCTACGACGTATTTCAACCGATACTAAATCCCAGATAAAAAAAAATAGATGATGAAATTATAACTTTAAAGAATAATTTGAAAATAATTGTCCTTGAGTTACAATTATATATGTCAAAGGGAAAAATAATTCGTGTAATGCGTTTTGTCCTTTAAGACATCATCGGACAAAGTTTGTTTAAAGATGCTTGGAATTTTAAATTTAAACATAATTTTCTCTTTTTTGTTTGTTTCGTGTATAAAACTTAACCGATTTAATTTAGATTATTTTTTCTTTTTGTTATTGTGTCCATCTCTTTTGTTATTAAATATCCTACACTGCGATAACAGAAGGTCTACATAAAATGGAGAAAGTTGTAAGAACACGGATGTGAATTTACTGTGGACGATCTAGCGATTAAAGAATTTTCTAAACTTGTTCGTTTTAGTGAATTGTTTCCTATTTTAATTAACACGGCATTTTTATATCAAAATGGTAGTCAGTCTCGTACCAGTAAAGAAATAAAGCCTTTAATGTGTTGTTTTGTAAAATATCTCTTTTGTGTTCATATAGTATTTCAGTTAAATTTCTTGATGTTTCTCCGATGTAATCTTTGTTGCAATCATTACACGTAATTGAGTAAATTCTCTCAAGTGTTAACTTATTATTTTGTTTACCATTGATTAAGTCTTTTATTGTGTTAGATGTGTTTTTGAAAATTCTTATGTTGACTTTAGATAAATTCTTTTTAATTGTAGTTAGTGAGAAAAAATATTGTTTTTTTATTCGCTGGGTTTGTGCGGGAGGTTTTGTGGACGGTGTATAATTTACATTTATCTATTTATTTCTCGCGCCGTTGATGAGGGACACAGGCGTGCCCAAAAAATCCGGATTTAAAAATTTTCTTTCCGTGCTTTATTTCTGTCATATGGGTTAATAATTAATATTAAATAAATGATTTTCGTACTGATTATATTTTTACCCTTTCGTCTGCTCTTCTTTTATTAACTATTTTTTTTTACACATTATAAGAAACACACGTGGGATCTTATTTTATCATACACACACACACACACATATATATACACATATATATATATATATAGTTTGATAAATGGTCGTCTAAATTACGCAAAACTATGAATAATATTGACAGATATATTTACGAAAATTGCCCAAAAATATCTTGAAATACTAAAGAGTAAATTTATTCAATATAATCACCACTGCATTCAACCAAAGCCTCTAACTGACTTTGGAATCTCCTTGCAACTCTTCTGGACGGTTTTCTTTGTTCAATTTGGTGAATGCTGCCATAATTCTTGCCTTCAGTTCATATTTGGTGTTACAAGGTTTGTTGGTGTCTCGATTAACTGCACTCCACAAAAATAATCAATGGGGTTTCAATTTGTAGAGTTAGGTGGTCAGATGTAACCGGTGATGTGGTCGCAGAAATTGTCTAACAGCTATGACTGGTTCTTCTGCTTATGTGGAATGGTGAAGAATCCTGTAAGCAGG